TACCTAAACAATAATAATGACTCCAACATCCTAAACGTTTCAAAAATGTTTTCTTATTTTTACACAGATGTTTTCGAAATTTAAGTCTATGTAGTGAAGAAATATATTTATGGTTCAGGAATTCCTGAAGTTTTACATTGGCATCTATTAAATGCTAATTAAAATTTTAAATTTTAGGGGCGCCTGGGTGGCTCAGTCGGTTAAGCGTCCAACTTTAGCTCAGGTCATGATCTCACGGTTCGTGGGTTCAAGGCCCACATCGGGCTCTGTGCTGACAGCCAGCTTAGAGCCTGGAGCCTGTTTCAGATTCTGTATCTCCTCTCTCTGACCCTCCCATGCTCACTCTGTCTCTCTCTCTCTCTCTCAGAAATAAATAAAACATTAAAAAATTTTAATTTTAAATTTTAATTTTCTTTTAGAAATTGAATGAACATTCCTTCTATTCTTGAATCTTTCATTCTGACTAGAGCTGTCCATTCCTCCATTCTTATTTCCTTACATCTACTTTTTAAAGAGAGACAGACATCTAGAATCATGTTTTACGTGGTAGTACTTATATGTACTTTTTTGTAATTACTTAAACTTTTATAATTAGGATGGTGCCATTTCCATAAAAACAAGAAAACAATCTTTTTTAAACAATGGCATTAATCAAGTACTTGTACATGCCACACATTGTGCTAAGTGTTTATAGACATTATCTCATTTAAATTAAATTACATTTGATTTTTTAACAGAAAAACCACTTTTGTTCTTTTTCAAATTAAATGTTAATTTCACAAGTTATCCATTTGTATGTGTCAAGATTTTCAGTTGCGAAAATAGAATCGGTTCTGAATAGTTTAAGAAGAGGATCCCCTAGAGGATATTAAGTTAACTCACAAAACTGTGGGAGGGCTAGAGAAAGAGGCTAAGTGCTAAGCTTCCAGAAATAATAGCCAGACTCATTCTCATGACTAGTCTCATCAGGGGAAGAGCTTTTGCTAAAAGTGAGCAGCTCAGCCGCTACCTTATTAGCAATATGGATGCCCCTCTTGAAGCCTGTGTTTTTAGGCTACTCACATTCAAATCAAAGTCTAGTGCAGATATGGATAACTGGCAGAACTTAGGGTACACACTTGCACCCTGCTTGCTCAGGGGACTGGAAAGTGGATTTCCTGGATTCTTCCTGGGCAAGTGGGCTATTTAAAATGTGGAAAACTAACAAAATATAGAGAGGGTATTGCAAAGATGTTAGCCATCTGTGCCAGTCGACTGTCACACTAAATAATACCAGCAAAAACAGTCTACAGCTTTTCTATTCAACATGGGGTCCATGCACCAGAAGCATCAAGTATCATCTAGGAAATGGTAAATGAAAAATCTTGGACCCCACCCCAGACTGACTGAGACAGAATCTGTATTTTAATAAAATCCCTCAGGTAATTCTAACATGCAGCCAAGTTTGAGAATTGCTGCCAATGTAAGAAAATGTAAGATGTTTTCATGAAAATGCACTCACCTCTCCAAAAGGGCAAACCCTGAGTCTCATCAATTCCTGCATCCAGCTCCAAGTCCAAGATCCTTGGGTGATGTTCTCCTGTCTAGTTCAGTCATAATCTTGTCCTGACAGTCCACAGGTAAACACTTAATGAAGTAAACCATCACCAAGCACCCTATGTAGAATAATAAGGAAATAAAGGAAAAGGGTGAGTGAAAAAATAAAATTAGTTAATATATAAATATAATAAACATGTTATAATCTTTGTTATAATTATATATTATAGTATATAAAACATATAGTATATAGAATACATTATATAAACACATAATACAGTTACATATATAGTAATATAATTATATACATATCCATTGCATAGCAGCAATCCTCTTGCCCTTCACATTCAGGATCCTTCATCCCAGTGCACGTGGTATGATCTTTCCTTGCCTGTTTTCCCCAATCATAAGGAGCCTCCAATTGCCACATCGTCAGTTCAGCTTCCAATTCAGTGGCACATTGTGTCTTCTGAAGGAAGCATTTCTCCCTTGATCTCAGACCCAGCAAAACTCAAAATGGCTGGGAAGGAAGTAACATTTTTCTCAAGTGTAACAGTAAGTGTAACAGTAAGAGGTACCACTCCCACCCTTTGCTTTTTAGACCATCCATTCTGGCCATGAGAGAAACCATTTACTGGTCACTGGTTCAGAGCATGTACCACACTCTTTAGGACAAGCTGCAGCCACAAATGAATTGTCATTAGGCTATTCTACATTCTATAAATCTGAGAAGATCAGTAAATCCTTGAAATGCAATCATTGCCTTATTTTTTTCTGTGGTAAATTAAGTTCCTTGATCAAAAGTATAATACTTTTTAAGATAGCATGCAGTGAATAAGGCATTCAGGAAGTCCACTGGTGATGTAATTGGCAGAAGTATACAGAGAAGGAAAGGGAAATCCATCTTTAGAAGGGTCTACTCCTGAGGGGATAAATCATCTCTTTCATGATGTAATCAACTCCCCATCAGGTGGCTGACTAGTACACCCAGGGAGAGTTTTCTCTATGAAATACTTAGGGTTAGGGGCACCTGGGTGGATCAGTCGGGTAAGTGTTCAACTCTTGATTTCAGCTCAGATCGTGATCTCATTGTGAGTTCAAACCCTGCATTGGGCTCTGTGCTGGTAGCAGAGAGCCTGCTTGGAATTTTCTCTTTCCCTCTCTCTCTCTGCCCCACCTCCATTTGCACTCTGTCTCATGCTCTCTCTCCAAATAAACAAACAAACATTTGAAATACTTAGGGTTAGTCACTTCTGCTGGCAAACTCAAATGTGGCCAGGTCGATCTGATGAGGAGAAGTTCACGTTGCTGAATCTACCCATAACCTCTGTCTTGCCTCCATGATAATTTATAAAGCCACCTAGCAAGCACTGTAATGACTGGAGAAAGCCTGACTGACACTGCCAGAGTTGGTCACTTTGTTTGCCTAATTACGAAGCACATCTTCAACTGTAGGACTCTCTTGGTTGGGACTCTCGTGGGGGTAACAAATAACTGTCACTACTCTAGGACCATTCTAAAAGAGAAAGCAAGTTTTTTAGAATCTGTCTTGGGTAGATGAGATAAAAGATGGGTGTTTAAAAGATACCGGGAGCCCAAGCAACACTTGAGCACTACAATGTATATTAAAACATAAGCACCAAGAGTAAAGGCTAATGTAAACCATGAACTTTAGGTGATAATGATGTGTCGATGTAGGTTATCAGTGGTAACAAATATACCACTCCAGTGGGAAATAGTAATAATGGGGGAGGCTAAGCTGTATGTGGGGATAAACAGTATATGGGAAATCTCTCTACCTTCTCTCATTCTTACTGCGAACCTACAAGTCCTCTAAAAATATGACTTTCTAAAACAAATCAAAGACAGGGTCCAGTCTCCTTTGACCACTGCCCCACCAATTCTGGTTTCCTTCCTAGAAGGAACCACTGTTATCATTTTGGTGTGCATCCTTTCACACCTTCTGCACATTTATATAACTATACATGTACCCACTGAAAATATACGTATTATATGGTTTATGTGTGGAATCACTGGATGTAGAGTATTAGGCAACTTGGTTCTTTTTTTACTCTCTACAATCTAAAGACTGTAAACACAGATCTAATTCATTTTAACTTCTCATTGTGTTCTACAATATAGATGCATCATAGATTATTTAGCCATTTTTATACTGTTTCCCTTTTTTTGACATTAACTATATGTAATGCATATCCTTCTTATACAGTTGTACAGGCCTCCTTGAGCTCATGCACAAATGTTTCTCTAGGGAAAATCCTAAGTGAAAGTTATGGGTCACAATATATGAATATTTTTAATTTTAAAGATATGCCCACATGCTTTATATTTTCATGGTAGTGTGTAAAGTATCTATTTACCCACACTCTTGGCCAACTGTGTTATATTATAAAACTATATAATTTTTGCCCAGCGAATAAGTATAAAGGTTATCTGATTATCAGAATGCATTTCTCTGGTTGAGTATTTATGTTTATGTTTCCTTCTGTATGGTCATTTATATTCCCTTTTCTGTTCTAATTCTTTGTCCATTTTCATTGTCTTTTAGCTATAGGTTCTTAATGGTTCTTAATAATTATATCCTAGATAGTAATTCTTTACATATCTTTCTTTATTGCAAACATTTCTTCAAACTTTGATTTAAGCTTTTTTTTTTTTTTTTAAGTAGGATTCATGTCAGCATAGAGCCCAATGTGGAGCTTGAACTCACAACTCTTAGATTAAGACCTGAGCTGAATTCAAGAGTCGGATGCTTAACTGACTAAGCCACCCAGGCACCCTTATTTCAGCTTTTTTATTCCATCTGTCTTCAAAGATTTTCTTCTGATGTTATCAAATTTCCTTTTGGATTTTGAATTTAAAAGAAAAATCTTGGGGCGCCTGGGTGGCTTAGTTGGTTAAGCATCCGACTTTCGCTTAGGTCATGATCTCGCGGTTCGTGGGTTTGAGCCCCGCGTCAGGCTCTGTGCTGACAGCTAGCTCAGAGCCTGGAGCCTGGGGCCTGTTTCAGTCTGTGACTCCCTGTCTCTGACCCTCCCCTGCTCATGCTGTCTCTCTCTCTCTCTCCTAGAAATAAATAAAAAAAAATAAACAAACAAAAAATAAATAAAGAAAAATCTTATTTGAAATGTTTTCCCCACCTTAAAGAAAAAATACATTCTTACATATTTTATTTTAATATTTGTATGTTTTTCCCAATTATTTAGATTTTTAATCCATCTGAACTTATGTATATGCATAGTATGAAATGGAAATTTACATTTTTCCAAATGGCTAGTGATTTTTCCTCCATTGTTTATTGAAAAGCAAATGTTTTTCCAGTGACTTAAAATGCCACTCACGTACTTAATTTCCATATATACATGGTTATGTTAGTCTATCCTTTTACTATGTGATCACCACTATATTAATTTAAAAAGATGTTCAATTTAATCTTTTCTTTTCAGAAAACTTCCTATTGAACAATTCTATTATTTGACACAGAACAAAAAAAGTGACATCTATGGAAATGATTCTTTGTAAGTTTGGGGTTTCTTTTCCTCATAATGGGCCAAATAACTTTTTTAAGTGAAAATGAGTTATGTGAGAAATAAAAAAGCCCCTAAATGGGAACTTTCAGAAATACAAAAGTGTTCTCTTTTTTTCCAACAGAGATCATTAATAAAAGAAACCGAGACCAAAGAAACAAAAATTTAAAAAAAAACAAACCCAAAACTCACTTATAGTTTGTAGCACTTAAACAAGTAAAGAAAAAAATCTGAAATACAGAATTGTAATGTTTGAAAGAATTCACACAAGTCATCTGGGTCCATTTTTCTGCCTTTGACCTAGTTTATCTAATAATAATCTGTTACATTTCTTAAAAGGTTCGTTGGAAATGCCCCAGTGCTCTCAGCAAAATTTTTTGTCAGGGTATTATGAGGGTAGAGGTTCATTATGACAATCTACAAATAATGTATAACCAAGTTACTCCCTAAGTCTCCTCGGATAAGGAATATTTTTTAATTGATCTTTGCTTAGAGGAATTAGTTTCCAGCATATTAAATTATCTTTCCTCTCTGAAATAGTTTGTTATATGTATTACAAAAGCATACTTTTTCATTTTCAGATAAGAATAAAATACCGACAACACTGAAGTAACTGAAAATATCCCTTCTTTACCTTTATTAGAATTGTGAGGAATCTGTGCAGATAAGAAGTTAATATAGAGGTCAGCCACAAGAGGGAGCCAAAAAGACGTGAAATTTGTGACGGCTAGGTCTTCTTTATCCCTTTGAGATCAGTACACTTTGAAAAGTAAATGTAGAGTCCAGCAGTAAAATAATGGACTGGTTTAGGTCAAGGAACAGAGTCTCTGAGCATTTTTAATTTTCATTTTAGCCTTTCCAACTGTGAACTATTTAAAAAGCTTTCCTTTTTAAATTTTTTTTTCCATTTTGAATCCAATCGATTTTAGGTATATACTTGTCAATATCATAGCTAAATTTGTCACATGAGAAAAATTTTAGATGCTGATTTAATGTTTCACATATAATAATCAATCGAATAACTCAGGATTCCTGAGTGATGGATTATTAATATTCTTTGCCCCTGCCTTCCCCAAAGCAACCATAAATAAACTGGAAGACATGTTTTCTGTTTTCGTTTTTTAGTCCCAAGCTTGCAAACTTGGAGTCCAAATAAAGAAAGACCTAAACCTGTCAAGATTCATGTGAATTATGTGTTGATAATACACTGTAGAATCAAAGCATAATATAGCTTACATACCACTTTCTAAATAAACATACAAAACTTCAATGGTACACTCCATTTTGTTGACCTTTGCTATCAACAGGTAACATTCTATTCACTTTACATGCCTGAAATATTTCAGAAATATCTGCAGAGGCTGAAACTAATTGTTGAATCCAATAAAAGTAGGTGACAGTCCTCTAGTGTGGACTCTGTTCTTGGGCTTCAGTATTATCTCTTGGCAGGCAGGGCTCTGAGCAATTAGTAAAGACACAAGTTTCAGATGAACTGATTCAGAGAAGACATGCCTGCAGAAACATGTTCAGATCTGTTCCAGCCTTTCTGTCAACTGGGCAACACTTTGATCATGAGAGATCAGCAATCCCAGGCAAAGGGACAAAGCACACACAGTATTTCTGTATCTTGTCCCCACCAGGCCACACTGAGGTCATTTTAGGTCATGGAATTGCACCACATGCACAGTGGCGGGCTGCCTCCAAGCACTTGGGCTACTGCCTGATTGTGAAGGTGAATGTCAGTAAGAAGGAGAGCCACATTATCATCAGGAGCCATCAGTCCTGCACCTTGCCCGCAAATAGGAAATGCAAAATGGGTAGTGAGTGGGAGGATTGAAGTTAGGTTGATCAACAGACCCGAGACATGAGGATATCATATCTCTGACTGGTCAATATTAAGTGTTCCAGAAAGTCAACCGAGAATGTTATCTTAAGGACACTGTAAGCAAATTTTTATTTTTAAGTAAATTTCTAATAGGAATGTAAGCTTTGAAAAGTCTTTAATATAAATTAGGATTTATTTCCTATTTTTACTCTAGGATGCCCAAACCACCTAATTCAACAGTACAGTAAGTATATACTTCACATTTTCCTTTCCCGTTATAATCAAGTAAAAAATAATTGGCAATCTATGTCTCGGTGTAAGGACAAACGTGACTTTTCATGAAAGACTTTAACAAGTGAAGAGGTTGGAATTATATACTCTGCTAATCCTTTCTTAATAAACTTTTTAATTTAGCACAGTTTAAATTTGCAGAATTATTTGAAAAACAGTACAGAGTTCCTATATACCTCATACCCAGCTTCCCCTATTAGGAATATCTTACATTAGTAGGGTGTATTTGTTACATACAAATTCATGAGCCAATAGTGATGCATTGTTATTAACTAAAATCCATACTTTATTCAGATCTTTTAACAAAAACAGCCTTTGTAATATATATATGATATTAAATGAAATCTCATATTATATATAGACTCAAGACACAGAGTCCATAGCTTTTGAGTTTTAGAGTAAAATATGTTTTGTTAAGTCATTACCAGATATAACTTAATACTATTAACTAGGAAATAGTTTCTAGAATCTGAGGGGGGAAAAGCATTCTGCCTCAATCCCAAATGATCAGAATTAACTGGGGCCTCTCCCTGGCTTCCTAACTTCCACCTTTTATCCCTTCTTCACAAAGCAAAATCCTGACCACAGACAAAACTAGAAGGACCCAGTAACTATGTATACACATTTTGCAAATTTCCTTCTTATTAGGGGGACCCAATCTCCAGGGGAAAAAATGGCTTATGAAATTTCTTTTGGTTCTGTTTTTGTAATTTAACATGATCTGGGCCTTTAGAATTTGTTTTCTAAATTAAGAAGTCAGTCTCTACTTTCTGGTCATGTCTTTGTGATGAACAAGATACAAGATACAATGAAAACCAAATGCTTTTGTCAGGAAGTCATCAGCCAGCATCAGATTAGTACCAAATGGGGCCACCCTGCCCTGGCCTCTGGGTGCATCCTAGCATTTAGCGTGGTGAAGGATTCTCTGATAAAGGAGAGATAACGCAGGTAGCACAAAGCCGGGAACATCAATGCTTTATTGCTGTAGTTATTGTTGTGGTTAACAACTGTTCAAGGCAATGTCCTTGAGTATAATTCCTGCTCACATAGTAGTTACAAGGTCTCAGGACATCCCACTTTAACCACTGAGATATTTTCTAAGGACAGGGGACAGACATGACCATTTTATGAAATGGTCATACCACATTTCCTTAAACTGCATCATGTCTGTGAGAAATGGCATTGGAAGTTCAAAATTAATCCCACTAATTCCCCATTGCCACCAGTTCTTACATCTTTTCTCAATCTGACACATAACTGGCAAAAATCCAAGAAACTCAAAATTAATCTTATTCCCAGATAAGTTAATTAGCACAGATTGAGACAATTATACTGTATTTACTCAGCCATTCTTTCTAGTATGATTTGTGACTCAATGTCTTTGTTGCATAATATTTGAGCCCTGGACTTTCTCATTTCATTCTTTACTGTCCCCAGGGTCTCTATCTTTCTTACCCAGGTCCCCTGCTTCCCGACTACTTCACCTGAAGGTGAATGAGGCAAGCCCCAAAGGCTCTGAATGTACGAAAACTTCTCTTAGAACATGGGCTTTTTACTAGACCTTGGTAAACTCTGTCCTTTACTGACTTAAGTGGACTGGACACTCTCCATGAGCAAAAATGTGTTTGTTCCTATTTTATTCACAGCTTGCTCAAACTATAAATGATCACTTATTTTCAAGCAAATTTGTAAGGGAAAGTTAATTTGAGGGAGATAGTAACTATAAAATCCACTGAATGGGAGAATGGAAATGTTTCTTTAGAATAAATGGAAATCACTGTGTCTTATATAAAATGAAGTATAGCCAGTGTTTTTATGATTCTGAAGTACATCAGTGAGTTGCAGTTCAGGAATTTATGTCTTGATTCTGTGTTCTAACATCATCATGGAATTGATGACCTTGTGCCTTGTACCAGAAAAGACACATAGCTGTTGATGTGGTGTTTTTTTAAGCAAAGTAAATAAATCAGGAAAGTGTTTAGTGATTCGCAACAAAATGATACCATACCCAATCCCAAAATGTGTTCCAACTGAGGGAGTTTGTGACAAAGGGAAGAAAACCAAATCTTTCCACAAAAACACAACGAGCTGGCCTTCATAAATGGCTTTTGCTTGAGGTCTAGACTTTTTCTCTTACAAATCAACCTTAACTTCTTTTGGTATCTGTGAGAGACCAGGAGGTTGTTAAGAATCTTGGACTGCCAGGGATTTCAGAGAGCCCATCACGAAGCCAAGGCTACTGAGTTCAGTATGGATTTGCATTAGCATGCCGAGTAAGCAGCAAGGGCCCACATCTGGGGCTGGGCCGCCGCCGCTTGCTAGCTACCAGCTCTCACAGTGTTTTTTAAACCTCTGCTAGTTCTTTTAAGAACTCTGCTAGTTTTTCAAATCGTAGGAAAATTATATCTCTATGGTCTTTTTAACTTGTTAGGCTTTATTTTTCCCATCAGTTTATCAGCTATTTTTGGCTTTTTGATTTCTAAACAGTACTGTGTACATAAACAGGCAGTATATTTTGTTCATTGACTGCTTAAAAGAAACAGAGGGCCCAGGTTGAAAGTTTAAGGCAAGATGGTTGGGTATTACTTTGCATACTGAAGCTGAATGCCCAGAAATGATTCCATAGAATAAAGTACTGGGATCCTTTTAAAACAAGAGGCTGGAATCGAAAGCAACTAGAAATTCTGCCTGTAGCATTCTAAAAACTATAGATTTAATGTATCTTCTGCATTAGTTGTGAAAGTTATTCACAGATAAAGAATTCAGTTATGATTTACTTTAAAAATTGATTTTATTTGTCTAGCAAAATTAGGAAAATGTCATGTTTTGTGGCATATATTCCACCAGAAAGCTAACTCCAGGAGTATAGGGACCTTGGCTCACTGCCGTATCCTCAGAACTAGAACGGTATCAGCCACAAAGAAGGATCCCAATAAATATTTGATGATTAATTTATTTCAATTGCATTTCTTTCTGTTCTGTTTTGCTTGCTCAACTGAATCTCAGAGAAACCTGCTGCCCATATCCGATTGAACATCCCTACCACACACACATCTCTCGTGGTGCCATGTTCCCAACCTTTACATCACCTAAGGATCTCTACACAGGCATTAAAGCCCGAAGCCAACGGCCATTTCCTCCCACTGTGCCAACGAAGGCTTATGATACGACAATTTTGAAAACAAGAGGTAAAATGTGATTTGATATCAGAACAGTATTAATTCTTTTCATATTTGAATTTTATTCAATTAATAAAATCAAAGAAAGTAGGGCAAAGGACTCAAGACACAAACATGTGACCCACAGTAGATTATGAAAGTTGTTCTTAACTGTAGCTGTGCTTTAGAATCATCTAGAACAAACCAAGTAAATCAGATTTTCTACAGGTGCTCTTAACTTTTCTTCTTTATACAAAGCCTTCCACACTAGAAGCAGAAAGCAAACATTGTAGAATTAGCTGTTTTTATTCTACCTGTTTTTTTCTATTTTTATTTCCTTCCTGCTTTCTCCTATGGCTTAGCTTTTAAAAATTTCATCCTAGCTCAGGTAATCAGCATGAGAGACAATATTTGGTTCAGAGCATCAGGGTCTAGACATAGGTGTAGCAGTTGTGATGAAATTGAGAGAGTGTCATCAAAATAAGACTTGGGAAGTAACAGGGACAGTTTATTTATGTCCTCTTAACACCTTGGGGCATCTTTCAGATGTGGTATACTCCCCTGGTAAGCCCATACAGTAGTCATCAACGTTCTCCCACACCAGATACCTTAAAACAGAGAAGAAACATCTTGGGAAAGACTGAAAATACTAGAAAAGAGGTATCTGAAGGTCACAGAAAAGGTGCATGTTAGGCAGAGAAAAACATTTGTTGAATGAATTTAGGCTGTGAGGTAGGGAAGACCCAAGAAATGTCCTATAATGCAGTTCCGCTATACATAAATATTTGGACCCAAATGTTTGCTCTCATTAATATCAACCTCAGTACCTTACTAGGAGATAGTAATATTCTGAGAGACATCACAGTGGAGTATTTAAAGCATGGACTATGGAGTCAGATGGCATGGGCAAGAATTCTAGCTCTACCACTCTGCTACTTACTCCCCATGGACCATAGAAAAGCTTAACTTCTCTGCCTCCGCTTCCCAATCTATAAAATGGGAATATTAGCACTTACTTCATTGATACCAGAGATAAGTATTAGCAGTCACTATTTTGTTACTCTGCACCCATATAATGATTCCATTATGTGTACCACATATTGAATTTTTCTATTACTTCTCAATCCAGTCATTGATAAAAGGTAGTAAAATCTGTATCAAATACATGGATATAGAGAGACATACATACATATGAATACACTCAATGCTAAATGATACATATGCATACATATATACATGTAAATTTTTGCAGAGCTGTGCAAAAGAACTACAAGATAGGATGCCAAGCAACTGAAATTTGTATGATCTTATTAGGCAAAGTGTCAAAGTTAATTTATTTTTTTCAATCCCTGAATTAGATAATTTCTGAAATTACATGAAGTGCATGGAGTTAACAAGAAATCAGAGAAATGTGTGCAGAATTTATAAAAACACTTTTCATTGCAGCTGTAGGTCACAGATTAAAGAAATAAGTTACCAGCATAATTGTCCACTCTTCCAAGCATCTACCTGTCCTAACCAGTTAGTCACTCTGAGAGGACTTTAGAAAGATGAGTATATTGGGGCGCCTCGGTGGCTCAGTCAGTTAAGCCTCCACCTTCAGCTCAGGTCATGATCTTGCAGTTGGTTCAAGCCCTGTGTCAGGCTCTGTGCTGAAAGCTCAGAGCCTGGAGCCTGCTTCAGATTCTGTGTCTCCCTCTCTCTCTGCCCCTCCCCCACTCGCACTCTGTCTACTTCTCTCTAAAAAATAAATATTAAAAATTTTTTTTTAAAAGAGGAGTATATTGTAATAACCCTTATAAAAGACCTTTCCAGGGGCATCTGACTTTGGCTCAGGCCATTATCTCACAGCTCATGGACCCAGGTCAGACTCTGTGCTGACAGCTCAGAGCTTGGAGCCTGCTTCTTATTCTGTGTTTCCTTCTCTCTCTGCCCCTCCCCCCTCATGCTCTGTCTCTCTCTCTCTCTCCCTCAACAATAAATAAATATTTTTAAAGGTTTTAAAAAAGACCTTTCCAAAAACTACTACCACATTAGGATTTCTACTTTTTTTTTTACACTTATTTTAACTCTTCTTTAATAGAAAGACATAGTACATGGGTTGAGTACCCTAGTACCAGATTGCCTGAGATTGAATTATTCCCCTTACTAGCTGTGTGATCTTAGGCAAATTGCTTATTTTTTGTGCCTCAGTTTCCTTATTTGTTAAAGTGGAAGTGCTAGTACCTTTCTCATAGTAATGTGAGTATATATGTAACACTTAGTACAGTACTAGCACACAGTAAATGTCCAATATATTCCAGCCTTTGTTCTTATTACATATGAGGATGGATGTTCACAGCATTCTTTTTTTTTTTTTTTTAAGTTTATTTACTTTAAGAGAGAGAGAAGGAGAGAGAGATGGGGGAGGGGGAGCACAGCAAGAGAGAGAGAATCCCAAGCAGGCCCCACATTGCCAGCGTCAAACTCACAAACCATGAGATCATGACCTGAGCCAAAATCCAGAATCAGACACTTAACCGACTGAGCCACCCAGGTGCCCCAGAGCATTCTTTCATGTGGAACTTATTATAGGACCAGAGGAGGCCATGCTATATTTGATAAAGCTTATCAAACTACCACTAATACCTAAGAAGCTGCATTCTTTAAAATGTTCTCTGTCTGGGGCGCCTGGGTGGCTTAGTCGGTTAAGCGTCTGACTTTCGCTCAGGTCATGCTCTCGCGGTTCGTGGGTTCGAGCCCCGCATCGGGCTCTGTGCTGACTGCCAGCTCGGAGCCTGGAGCCTGTTTCAGAGTCTGTGACTCCCTCTCTCTCTGACCCTCCCCTGCTAATGCTGTCTCTCTCTCTCTCTCCTAGAAATAAATAAAACATTAAAAAAATTTTTTTAAATGTTCTCTGTACCTTTTTAGTAAGCAAATACTAATTCTATTTCTTGATATTTAGGCAGGGAAAGCCCAAAACGAGTAGTATAGAAAGAAATGTATTTGCTAAGCCTTCAGAGACCAGAAAGAAGATCCAGGAAATTTTAAAAATAAAAGTTATAACTTACCTGAGAATCCCTTTTGTTACCAAGAAAGGGGCAGCTCCTGTGCCCCTTCAGACTGCTGGCAACACTTGGGTTAGAGACTCAGTCTCGCTCTGTGTGGCCCATGTGCTGCCTGCTCATTAAGGGGAACAAGAATTCAAACAAACCTGGGGCGCCTGGGTGGCTTAGTCGGTTAAGCGTCTGACTTTTGCTTAGGTCATGATCTCGCGGTTTGTGGGCCCGAGCCCTGCGTCGGGCTCTGTGCTGACTGCCAGCTCAGAGCCTGGAGCCTGTTTCAGAGTCTGTGACTCCCTCTCTCTCTCTGACCCTCCCCTGCTCACGCTGTCTCTCTCTCTCTCTCCTAGAAATAAATAAAACATTAAAAAAAAAAAAAAGAATTCAAACAAAGCTATAATACACTAGCTAAAATGTGCCTCATTCCGCTCTACCTCCTATCATCTTGTTTCTGTTTATTGCACTCCAAAATCCCATTCATAGAAAGCTGTTCTTGCATATTCAGGATAACAGCACTCTTCCTGAAAATTTCAGGTAATCCTTACAGATATGAACTGCTTGATCTTCCAATGGATTCAAAGAAGAAAGCCTTGAATTGGCCAGGTCAGGGTGTATATTATGATGTAAGTATCTTTAAATATGTGTTTAAAACAAAGTGAAAAATGTTTTTACACTATACATTTATGAAAATCCAAAAGATGGACTGTTTTATTTTCTACCTGGTTAAAAAAAAAAACTTGAAATGACCTTTTGCTCAGGTCAGATCTCACGGTTCGTGGGTTTGAGCCCCACATCATCAGGCTCTGTGCTGACAGCTCAGAGCCTGGAGCCTGTTTCGGATTCTGTGTCTCCCTCTCTCTCTGCCCCTCCCCCACTCATGCTCGGTCTCTGTCTCAAAAATAAACTATTAAAAATTAAAAAAAAAAAAAGAAAATTATAATAGCCAACATTCATTAACCAGTTAGCTTGTGAGAGGCAGTGCCAAGTGTTTTCCATATATTATCTTCTTGCATTTAACAATCTATGAGGGGGGCGCCTGGGTGCTCAGTCGGTTAAGTGTCCAACTTCAGCTCAGGTCATGATCTCATGGTTCGTGGGTTCGAGCCCCACATCGGGCTCTGTGCTGACAACTAGCTCAGAGCCTGGAGCCTGCTTCAGATTCTGTGTTTGCCTCTCTCTCTGACCCTCCCCTGCTCACTCTGTCTCTGTCTCTCTCTCTCTCTCTCTCTCTCAGAAATAAATAAAAACATTTTTAAAAAAAGGGTTTTTCTTTAACTAAAAAAAAAATCTATGAGGTAGGCAAGAAATAATTACGTAAGGCTAGAAACATTTGAATTTTACTTGGGATAACCATTGTAGCAGGCCAGTGTGGTCACTGCAGTGTCACACAGTCATCTAGGAAGTACACAATTTCCTATTTGTTTTTTGTAAAGTTACACATCAGGTAAAATCCTTAAAGAATCATCTATCATACTGGACCTCTTTAATTCTTGCAAGCAAAATCTATATCAAAGTAACCCAGAAATATGAGAAGTCATTCGAGAGACAATTCCATCATTAAACATTCTTACAGCCAAAGTCTCCAGTTCTGGGGTTTAGTTTCTTTCAATCTCCCTCACTTCCTCCTGCTCATGAAAATGCGGCTGTCCTCATATCTCGGCCCTCTGCAACAATCCTGATTAGCTCTCCTTTACCCAAGTGTAAATCGCAAGGCTGGCCTTACTTTCTTCCTGCAGCCTGGCTCAGCTCGCTGGTCCTTGAACAGGTGGACGGCCATCTCCCACTCTTGGAATGCTCACCCTTCATGGCCTGTCTGCCTATCCCAAACTTGCTCTTTCTTCAAGGCTCAGCTCAACCCTTGTTGTTTCTGTTGCAGAGCAGATAGTGAACCAAATAAGGAGACCTGCTTACTCCTATACCTGTCATTTGTTCTCTTGGTGATATTAGAAATATTGCTTCTCTTCTCTGAGCTTACATTAATAAAATATACCTGTATAATTTCAGTAAAATCTGTCCTACAGACTTCACAGGATAGGAGGATTATGCGAAGGCTATAAAAGCACTTCAAAAAATAGAAAGTGCTATACTTTATAAGCATTATTACTCCAACAGAAGTGATTTCCCCTCTTCTGAGTTTCTACAATTATTATAACCAATAACTTTTTACATGTATCTTCTATCTTAGCAACTCAATTACAAGCTCTTTGAAAATGGAATATTTTATAATTTCTATATTCCCTACATCACTTTGTATGTAAATATTTTTGATTTATCTGACTCTTCTTCCAACGATTAACCCAACTTTCTTAATCTCTTCTAATCTTAATTTTTAATCTTTCCATTATTCTTCTGGTGTATCCCTAATCCTAATCAAGTTTTGCACTTTGCTGGACAGAAAAAGAAAGAAAAATAAAATTGATACTGGGCTTGATGACAGGAGTCTCATGACTCATCTATTTTTCCTCCTTTAGGATAATACCTGTCCTTGTCCTCCTCTGCCTTTCACCACTTCACTGGGGAGAGTGGCCAAGGGGTCTTCAACTTTATCTGCAATGTTCTATTTTTGTTAAAGGAGAATTTCTTGTATAGTATTTACATTTCCTGTTGTTGGAGCAGTGGTTCTCAACCCAGCTGCACATTAGAATCACCTGGGGTGTTTTTAGAAATCCCAGTTCCCAGGCTGTATCCCGCCCGAATTATAATTGATTACATAATTATAATCAGCATTCTCTGAGGGTGGGAGGAGGCAGAGAGACACTAAGAACTTAAGTAATTCCAGGGGCGCCTGGGTGGCTCAGTTGGTTAAGCATCCAACTCTTGGTTTCAGCTCAGGTCATGATCTCATGGTTTGTAAGTTCGAGCCCCACTTCAGGCTCTGTGCTGGCAGCATGGAGCCTGCTTGGGATTCTCTCTCTGCCCCTCCCCTGCTCGCTCTCTATCTCTCTGTCTCTCAAAAATAAAAAGAGTATAAATTTTAAAGTGGCTCAGCTCCTGGCTCTAAAATTTAGCAGTTATAGGGGTGCCTGAGTGCCTCAGCCAGTTAAACATGACTTCTCACAGTTTCTGAGCTCTAGCCTGTGCTGACAGCTTAGAGCCTGGAGTCTTCTTCGGATCCTGTGTCTCCCTGTCTTTCTGCCCCTCCCCATCTCTCTCTCTCTCTCTCTCAAAAATAAAATAATAATAAACATTTTAAAAAAATAAAAAAGAAAAGGAAAAATGAAATAAAATGAATCAACTGTATAACCATGGATAATATGTTTAATTCTTCAATACCTCAGTTTCCTCATAGATAGAAGAGGAATAATCATGAACTCCACCTTATAGGGCTGTCTTGAGAATGAAATGCATGTAAAAGCACTCTGCACCATATCAGCAGAAAGCAAGCTTATAATAAGTGCAAGCTTCCATCAATGTTATTATTTGAATGATTATAAAGCTTTGTTGACTGAGAACATTAAGAAATGGGTGGTCTTGGAAAGGGGAATATTCTAAATAAAAGTTTAACCTTTTAAAAACTAAGTTCTAACAGCTACCATATGTTTGCACGTATAGGAGGATTAGGAGGAACTTAACGGAGGACCATGGGGGAGAAGAAAGGGGGAAACCGGAGGAGAGGGAGGGAGGCAAACCACGAGAGACTCTTGAATGTTGAGAACAAACTGAGGACTGATGGGGGTGGGGGGGAGGGGAAGGGGGGTGATGGGCATGGAGGAGGGCACTTGTGGGGATGAGCACTGGCTGTTGTATGGAAACCAACATGACAATAAACTACTAAAAAAAATAAAAAATAAAAACTAAGTTCTGGGCCTTAATTTTAATAGTATTTTCAATGTCATTTTGCTTTCATCCTTTTACATTCCATGTATATGAAGCCTGTGCCCTCAAGAGTCACAGAAATCTAGGTACCTCTTTCCCACCCAGTTCCCAGAGCTGCCCTACTTTTTATCTCTTTGGCCTAGCCCAGTTTTCCCTACCAGAGTCACTGATCATTGCACTGTCCTCACTCTAGCCGTGGTCTCTCCTGCTACCTTTCTCTTTCCTCAGTGACCTCTTCTCACTGGCCATTTCTAGCATTATGCCAATCAGAATATTCATTTTCCTTTTATGAATGGCTGACAGTTAGGTTCAATAATTTGACTCTTCTGGACTGCTTTTGTCACTGCCTCAAATGGCCAAAGATTTTTTTGTTCTATTTCTCAAGAGCTAAAGCATCTGGTCTTAGCTTTTGCAATACGAAAATATTCTTTAGGATGACATTTACCTTGTAATCATCTTTTGAGTAAGGTGAAATATAATAACCACAGAGGTCAAGTGCCATAAACTTCCCTAAACCCTGGACTTTCTGAAATATTTTAACAAACCATTTTGAAAGCCTAACTGAGCCTACTATCCAGTTTTCCTTATCTGTAAATGTTTGGAAAGACTTTGGCTTCCCTTGCAAAGAGGATCCACTTACATCATTCTTACAGAGGAGTGTGGTTTCCTTCTTGAACCACCTGCCATCTTTCTAATCCAAAGTGCCCATCCCCCTCTTAGAGATATATTCCTCATTCCTAGGAGAGTTCCATCTCTACTGAAAATTGGCCAACTCTCCGCTTCAGATATCCCTAACTCTTTAAACTCTTCCCATACCACCACAGGTTACAATAAAATTTCACATTCCCAGGGCACCTGGGTGGCTCACTTGGTTAAGCATCTGACTTCAGCTCAGGTCATGATCTCACAGTTCGTGGGTTCGAGCCCCGCATTGGGCTCTGTGCCGACAGCTAGCTCGGAGCTTTGAGCCTGCTTCGGATTCTGTGTCTCCCTCTCTTTCTGACCCTCCCCTGCTCATGCTCGCTCTCTCTCTCTCTCTCAGAAATAAATAAAACATTTAAAGAATTTTTTTTAAAAATTTCACATTCCCTATTTTCTTCCTCTGTGACCTTGCCTGCATTTCAGTAGATCACTGCTGTTACTTAAACTAGATTAACACACAAGATTAATCTAGCCCCTCAGAACAATATTTGAAAAAAGTCCTTATTTATAAGCTGGCTTTGCAAATCATTATAAAGAGAACAGAGAGGGCTTTCTTTAGCCCTGAATAAGCAAACCACATATTAAAGGTTTATAGAAGTGGTTATTGAATACTTGAGACAGTTTTCTAACAAGTGCCTTTTACCATGACTATTCTCTATATGGAAAATTGGGATCACTCTAACCTCACAGAGTTGCTAAAATTAGCATCATCCTTAGGCCCAGGAACTTTAGAAGGACCCATGCCTTTAGGGCCCAGCTCTGGCCTTCCTCTGGCTATACCCCTCCTTCTGGGACAGGATGTTTATGGGAACAAGAGGATATGTCCATCTAGAGCCCATGCTCCACAAGCTCCCACCCCAGACCGATGTGAGACTGCAGAATTCCCTAACAAAATGGCTTTGAATGCAGTACTAGGGCCTTCATGAGGTCTCTTCTCCAGGTCCATCCTCCCAGGGGTTGACAGTGCTTGAAGCCAGTATATACCACTAGGCCAAAGGGGTTGCCAAGTGATGGCTGTTTGCTGTAAGTAGAGGTAATAGGTATAGTGGAGCTTGAACTTGAGGACCAAGGTACCCTTATATATAAGGCACTTCATCATTTGGGATGGAATTGGGGGTAGGTAGAAAGCAGTAAGCGATGTTGAGGCCAGGGGCCAGCAGCTAGCTCTTTTTGAACCACTGTGTCCCACTGCAGTCTAATAAGTTTGAATTTGAACTCGGTCTTCCAAGTTGTCATGCAGGTATTTTGTCAAAATAGGAGAATGGGACATATTTTATTTAACTTATTTGCTTGATTTAGAAATTAAATTATTTAGGAGCACCTGGGTGGCTCAATCTGTTAAGTGGCCAACCCTTAATCTTCGCTCAGGTCATGATCTTGAGGTTCCTGGGATTGAGCCCTGCCTTGTATGGCGTATGACGTAACATGGGCTCTTGTCTCCTCCATTCTTCTCAGCTCTCTGCCCTATTTCCCTGTTCAGATAGAATCAACCTCTCCCTTCTCAGAACTTAGAAATAATTCTCTCTTAACCTCTTTTATAACAGTTACTTACCATCTTACAGTCATTTATGCTCACTCCTTATCTCCCCTTTTAGCCAACACATCCCTGGATGACTTGTTTCTGATCCATCCCTGTTCCCTGCCACTACCTTGCACAGATAAGTGCTCAGTACATATTTACTGACTATCATCAATCTGAGAAAAAGGTGAATTTCTAAATAGCCAAACAGACTGCAATGAAACTCATTCATTAATTTACTTTTACATATACCCCTTTTTGAAAATACAAAATAAACTCCATTGTAAACAGTTACATTGATAGAAGGAAAATTTTTATTTGAATTTGGGTGACTTAAACTCCATTAGAAATCCATAAAATATATCAAATGGTGCCATTTCAGGCAAGGAAAGAGAAGAGGAAGACACACAATTTTGGCTGAATTTACCCAAAGGAGTACCTCAGAACACTTTTTTCTCTAATAAAATTTTACTGGAGGTAGAGTATTCTCCGGGACATTTCTCCAAGGTACATTATCAGACAGAGTCCCTGCTAAAGCAAAAAGCTTTTAGAAAAGAGCTCATCGTTCTTTTGATAAAATACTGTGTTTAACTCTAAATATGGTTGAGTTCCAGAATATTACTGATTAATGAAGAAAAAAATCATATCTGACTTAAGCCTAGAACTTCCTTTATGCCCCTTCTTGCTAAGATAGTGAATCAGCCCTTATTCTACTAGATGGCATTAATAACAATAAACTTTGATGTTCATATTCTAGTTCCCTAAATGTGTTGAAAAGAACAAGCCAGTATTCTACCCAAAACCTCCTAAAACCTTCGCTCCTAACACTTCTTTAAATTCGTGGGACCCGATTAGCTCTCTAAAAGAAGCCAACATACAAAGAAATCTTGAGAGGTCCCACTGGATCCCTTCATACACTCATGATTTTACAGGTATGGGTTTACTTTAATACAAGTAAAAAGAACAAAATTAGAACATTTGACAAATGCTGTTACAAGCTTGCATCTTCTAATGTTTTTCCCTGTTTCTTACCCTGAGTACTAATGGAAATTAGGGTGGGTGGTAAGCTTTAGCGGGAAACTGGGAGATAAAATTGTTTTCAATTTATTCATTCTAATTATAGTACAAAGGGAAATGGGTAAGTTTTTCTATAAAAGGTCATTTAAGATCCATCCTTCATTTTCCACTAACAAATTAATAAGATGTGATGTTTCCATTAAGGTCTGGGGCCCATGAACCCCCTTGAACTGGATGATTACCATGAAAAGGAAGTAGCAGAGTTAACTGGACAGACAGGATTTGACCCAGAGCCTGTAAGTAACTGCAGTTAACTCTCAGTTATTTAGGGGGAAAGTATCCAGGTGTTAGGCTCCTTCTTGCTTTACCCACTTTTTATTTGCTTCATGATTACTGGTGACCAAGCTAACAAAGGAAAAATTTAACTCATCATAGAAGTTAGTTTTGAATTGATTTGAATTGGTTTAAATACCTTTGCCCACTATTTCAAAGAACAAGCGAGGTTTCTTTTCCTATTCCCAGTGCTGGTGTTTTGAGGGTTTTTTTTTTTTTTAAGTTTATTTATTTATGTTGAGAGAGAGAGCATGAGAGCACATGAATGGGGGAGGGACAGAGAGAGAAGGAGAAAGAGAGAATCTCAAACAGGCTCTGCACTGTCTGTGCAGCCAATGCAGGGCTCAAACTTGTGAACTGTGAGATCATGACCTGAGCTGAAATCAAGAGTGGAGAGGCTTAATCAACTGAGCCATCCAGGTGCCCACTGACATTTTTTTTTTTTTTTAAGATTTTTCCACTATGCTACTCTTGCTAAAATTTACAAAGGAATAGGTTTAAAAACACTTACCCTATAATTTAATGTGATTCTTAATAAGTTCTATGAATATTTATGTACTTGTATATCTTATACATTACCACTGCTTTTGAAGAGATAAGGCCTGATATCCAAAATAAGTGAGAGTTGGCTTAATTACAATTGAAAGCCAATAAATTTTCTGCAAATGTTAATACAAGTTTCTTAATTGATTATGTGAAATGGCCTGAAAGAAATGATCAAGCCCTTAATGACAGAAACTATAGTCTGTTGGCTTACTTATATACACATGAAATAAAATAACTTAATAATATACATATATGTTGTTTTATTTGGGGCCTAGATCTTATCCTTTAAAGATACAAATTTTTTAAAACAAAATTAGTATTTCCAAAGTTATAAACTGTGGAATGATGCACAAAAAATGGCTATATTTCAATATGAACTCTTTTTAGACTGAACTGAACACATTTATGTTACATTAGCTCTGGTATTTCACAAGGTGATAAAAAATCGTAATACCTCAAGTAGTTACCAGACTGTGCTTCATCATTCACTGAAGCGTTTTTTTTTTTTTTTCACTTTTCACTTGCAACAAATATTCTCTAAGTTTAGAAAGCACTATACATATACTCTGACATTGTCAAGTGTGTTCATCAGCTATCCAGATTTCCACAGATTTGACCCTGTAGACTCCAGCCCCTCAGGAAACAGCTTTATCATTTTTAAAAAGAAATAACATGTACAGTTATACAAAGAATGTTTGTCAAGTATATTATATGCCAAATTATTGTGCAAGTAAATCAACTAAATTTGTATTAATAATAAGATAAAATATGCCTAAAATAAAGTTTAAAAATTTTATGGGTGCCTGGCTGGCTCAGTCAGTTAGGTTTCCAACTTGGTTTCAGCCCGGGTCATGATCTCACAGTTTATGGGTTCCATCCTTGCATCTGGCTCCAAACTAACAGCATAGAGCCTGCTTGAGATTCCCTCTCCCTCTCCCTCTCTCTCTCTCCCTCTGCCCCTCCTCCACTCGTGCACGTGTGCACGTGCTCTCTCTCTCTCTCAAAATAAATAACTTAAAAAAAAATAAATGAAAGTAAGTTTTAGTGACTCTTGCTGGTTTCTGACTAAGACATGAATAACAGACTCTGGGAAGGCATATTTTAGTGGTAATAAGTATATGAAGTATTTTGTTGTAGTAGAATGAAATAAGGACACAAAAAACTGCTTCTTGCATAAAGGGGTCCTATCCAAGGAGGATATAATATACCCCAGAATTTTTTTGTTTATGACAAATTTAACAAAATATTTTAAAAAGCTGGGGTTTCTTCTTTTCTTCATAGTAGCTACTCAAACCTGATTAGCTAAAGGTTACAACAGATTTATTAGTAATAGATGGAAATTCCTCCAACTCTGAGCAAATCAGGATCCAGGAAGATACTCCAAAGTCTGTTTTGTTTTCTACATCCAAACTAGTTACTGTTTTCTCACCATTCTCATTTTTACTGCCTCTGCTATCAATTCTATATCCATTCTTTCTTAGTTTTTCTTCCGCATGCTGTCTTAAAAATCTTCATAGATGCAGAATGCTGAAATAATTCTACAATTATCATCCATACACCCACCACCTAGATTCTACCATCAGCATTTTGCTATACTTACTTTAACACATCATCTATCCATCTCACCATCCCTCCAGCCATCCATCAATACACTTTATTATGTTTTATGCATTTCAGGGAAATTGCAGACATTAGGATACTTCACCCTTAAACAATCAGCATGCATATCATGAAACAGAGTTCGATCTGTTGCAGCTTTTCTTTTAAGGCAAAATATTGCACATATTTTAAGTGTATGTTCACTGAGTTCTGACAAACGCGTACACCTTTGTAACCCAAACACCTATCAATACATTAAATATTACCATCATCCCAAAAAGTTTCCTCGTGTCCCTTTCTAATCAGCTCCTCCCTCTTCTTTCTGTTCCCCCAGACATATAGCTATTAATAGACTTTTAAATACACTATTTTTGCAGTTAGCAGACATGATTCATATTTGTAAAGTATCTCAAAAAGCACAGATATGACAAGCTCTCTGCAGACCGCTGTTAAAGTACAGCACATCACTGGCCTCAGCATCACCCAAGATGTTTGTTAAAAAAGCAGATTCCTGTGACACCTGGGTGACTCGGTCAGTTAAGCATCCGACCCTTGGTTTCAGCTCAGGTCACGATCTCACAGCTCACGAGTTCAAGCCCCACATCCAGCAGTGTGGAGCCTGCTTGGGATTCTCTCTCTCCTTCTCAATCTGCCCCTCACCCTGCTTGTGCACACTCCCTCTCTCTCCACCCCTCCCAAAATAAATAAACTTAAAAAAAAAAAAAAAAGCAGATTCCTGAGCCCCACTGTGGAACCTCTGAATCACAGTCTTAGTCGATCAAACTTAGGAATCTCATTTTCCCCAGCTCCAAAGCTGATTCTAATTCAACCAAGAATTAAGAGCCTTTGTATTGGAAGGCTTTCACTGAGATTTAAATAACCACACACAACCATCAACATCATCTGTTTGGGGATGGCAGAAATTCTGGCCTGTGAGTCTTTATATCTTTGAACGTGTGAAAGCAAAGAGTTCCTACACAGAGGAATTTTTCTATAGCCAACCTCTTTTCCCTATTAGCAAAAACCAGTGGAAGAGAAAAATATGTTTATTAGGACACAAATATCAGTGTCCTTGAATGAATAAATAAATAAATGAATAAGCGAACACTGCAATGTGCACTCCTACACCCATTCTACATTTACTCAGTGAAAATGGTTACAAATTTGACCTGCCATTTGTTGGCGATACCCTCACAATGCCAGATTAACTGATTTTCTCCTTTTTATCCCACCACTACAGCAAGAAAAATTCCATCCTGTCTTAAAACCTCCAAGACCCCTAGAAGGACGAATTGCTCGACTGCTTCAGAACCGACGTCCCCTGGAGGCTACTGTTCAGCAAAGACCATATTCCTGTCCTGACTGTACCCCCAGAGTTTTATGTAATTTTCACACTTTTGTACCCAGTTCTACAGAAATGATGGGACTTAGTGATAACACGCTGGCGGGTGTCGCCCGTAAAAAACAGGAAATTGAAGACAAGATTAAGGAACAAAGCTTGCTATCTACCTATGCATCCTCACCTTGTTACCCAACAAGAGACCTGACTAACGTTTGCGACATAAAAACATTTCCAAAAATCACGGATACTAAAAAGATAGAAGATCTGTACTGGAGACAGCTGGCATTAAACCCCCAACCTGTATCTTGTTATAGCCCAAACCATTACCTTCAGTATGAGCGTCTTAAACCTTCCATACGGGACCCGTGTACTATGTGTCAAAACTCTGTTAGCTTTAGTAAGCCTTCTATTTTAGAAAGTAAACCAGACTTAGAAGCTTTTGATTTGGAACATTTTTTAAGTAAGCCAGAAGAAAGGTTGACCTTTAACACAGAAAACAACGAGGAAACAAGACCCATTCTGGGTTGGATTCCTAGAGCTGGAGTGGCGAAGCCTCAGACTGACCTGCTAGGGCTTAAGAACTCTTTTTCAAAAACTGGTGCACAAAAACGTTTCCATAAATCAATTTTAGAAGACCATAAAGACCTCAGGGATAAGGAGCATTCAGGAATGAAACACCAATTCTATGGCCATAATTCCTATTATTTCTATAATTGAGATATTCATTCTTTCCTTCAAAACCCAGCCTCTTGCAAGAAAAGTAAAAATTTAACTGAATTTCTTCCATGTTGTTGGATTCTGTTTTCTAGAATAGCCGTAATGACCTTGTTATGAAGTTTACGTTTTCAGGAATTTAAGTTAGTATCTAGTTAGAGGACCCCAGAAAAGGGGATGTTCTTACTTCCTGAAAAGTTTAACAATTTGGCAATAAAATATTAGAACCAGAAAAATTTATAGTCTTTAATCTTATTTTCAAATTACAATACAAGGTAATTTTCCAAAATCACGAAAAACAATGACAAAGTTTACATTGTTTTCCAAAAATTTAGTATTTGAAATTCAAATGCCCAGTAGTTGACAGATGTCTATACAAACTATAGTCCCTTAATAAAATAAATATGTGAACATTGTCCCCTTCTGTAACTGTTTGTACAAACATCAAATATAAAAGACAAAACTCAAATGCCCAGTTAGTTGAGAAATGGGCAGCTCTATAAATTGCATTACTTTAATAAATTAAATATATGGGCCCTTTTTTTATGTAAATGTGGACAAAATAAGTCGGTATAAAAAATGAAACCCAAAATGCTGTGCATGCACACATTCAAAGCTGGATATTTCTCTTCCTTTAACCTGCTGATAGAGAAACATACCCATTTTTTTAATGCAGGAAAAAAATGATTTTATTATGAGGATCTGGCAATGGCCTTAATTAGTAACTGGTGAGTTAACTGTGGCAAGAAAGGATGGTGTCTTAGTCTGCTTGGGCTGCTAAGACAAAACACCATAAACTAGGTAGCTTATAAACAACACTGATTCCTCACAGTGCTAGTGACTAGAAGTGTAAGGTGACAGCACTGGTAGATTTGGTGTCTGGGAAGGGTCCGTTTCTTCACTGACAGCCACCTTCTCACTATAACCTTGTAAGGGGCAAGGGATCCCCTTATGAGGACACCAATCCCATTCATGATGGTTGTCTTCATGAACTAATCGCCTCCTAATGGTCCCACCCTTAGGGGTTAGGATTTCAACACATGAAATCTGGGGGGGGACACAAACATGGACACCATAGCAGATGGCTTGATATCAATTACTCTAAAGCCAAATGTCAGTTTTGGAAGGTGTCTACCAAGAGTTTAGCTAATTGCGCCAAATGGAAGCCAACTCATTTAATGTGCCAACAGGCACATTTTAGACATAGTTTATCATGAAAGTTCTTAAGGAATTTCTATGAGTGTTCTGTTGAGATGTCTTTTAATTTTTATATTTCATGATCATGTCATTTAATTACACCTCCTTTCAAACTATTTTGGACTAGGGGTACCTGGGTGGGTCAGTTGGTTAAGTTTTCAACTTTTTTTTTTTTTTTTACTGTTTGAGAGAGAGAGAGAGAGAGAGAGAGAATGCATACAAGTGTGCACAAGCAGGGGAGGGGGAGAGGGAGAGGGAGAGAGAGAATCCCAAGCAGGCTCCAAACTCAGCACTGAGCATGGAGCCTGACTCAGGGCTCAATCCCATGACTGTGAGATCATGACCTGAACCAAAATCAAGAGTCAGACGCCCAACTGACTGAGCCACCTAGGTGCCCCTGAACAATGTTCCTTTAGATTCAGCCACATATTAACCTATTTTGTTGCTCTTTATTTTTTCTCTTCATCTTTGATCTCTTAATCTGTAATCATTCTTTGTATAAAGAACACCCTTTAGAATTTCCTTCATTGTGGATAAGGGGGTGACAAACTCAGTTTTTGTTTGAAATGTCTTTCTTTCTTTCCTAAGAGATATTTTGTCAGATAAAGAATTTAATTTCACAGTTACTTTCTTCCAGTATATTGAAGATATTCATATACGGTCCCCTGGCTTCCATTGTAGCTGTAGAGAACTCAGTAGTCAGTTTAAGAGTTCTTGGAATGTCAGTGTTTTTCTCATTTTGCTTTTACATTGTTATTGTCTTTTTTTCTTTTCTTTTTTTTTTTTTTTTAACACTGTATTAGGAATCATTGGAATGGACTGATATCTTTCACTCAAATATTTCTTTTACCCCATTCTCTCTTCTCTCTTTATGGGAGTCCACTTAAAAGTATGTTATACAGGGGCACCTGGGTGGCTCAGTCGGTTAGGTGTCTGACTTCACCTCAGGTAATGGTTCATGGGTTCAAGATCTGCATCTGGCTCTGTGCTGACAGCTCAAAGCCTGGAGTCTGCTTCAGATTCTGTGTCTCCCTCTCTGTCTGCCACTTCCCTGCTCATGCTTTATCTCGCTCTCTCAAAATAAGTAAATAAACATTAAAAAAAATTTTAAGTACATTATATATTATCTTAGTATCTTCTTCATTTTGATTATTTTCAGTTCTAAAATTTCTATTTGACAGTTGTTCAAATTTGCCATTTTATTTTATATATATACTTTCCAGTTCCCTTCTAAAATATTCAAGCATGGCTTTCACATTTAGAACACAAATATTTTAGTTTGAAATTTTTAAAATCTGAAATCCCTATGTCTTCATTCTTCTGCTAGTTTTCCTTCATATTATGGAGTTAAGAATTATCTGTCTTCCTTTGCTTAACACCTTAAAACCTTTATTTGTAAGGGCACCTGGGTGGCTCAGTCAGTTAAGCATCTGATTCTTGGTTTCAGCTCAGCTCATGATCTCACAGTTTGTGCATTCAAGCCCCACATCAGGCTCTGTGCCAATAATGGAAAGCCTGGTTGGGATTTTCTCTCTGCCCTCTCTTCTTTGTCTCTTCCACACCCAAAAAATAAACATGCATTAAAAATAAATATTTGTAGAAATCATTTGAGATTTAGACTGATATTATTGTCTTCCTGAATTTTGATTTGGTTCTGCTAGGTGCCTGAAGGCAACAGAATTCCTTATTCCAAGTTCAAAAATTTGAGGTATTCTTGGCTGACCACTAAAAAAGTCGGGCAGCAGACCTTGTAGGATCAGTGTTTCTTCCAGTTCACCTTCAGTTCCAGGCTGCAGGCCTTTGAAATGCTGACCTAAAGCTAGGGTCATTTACTAGGTATCTGGTTCGACAACCTCTGCAAGCCCTGAATTGATATTGTAGATACACTTTTTTTTTTTTTTTTTTTTTTTTGAGAGAGAGCATGCAGGAGCCGGGGAGGGGCAGAGGGAAAGGGAGATAGAGAACCTTAATCAGACTCCATGCCTATGCCCAGCACATACTCCTACACAAGGCTCCACCTCACAACTGTGAGATCATGATCTGAGCCAAAACAAAGAGTTGGACACTTAACCAACTGAGCCACACAGGCACCCCAAGACACCTACATTTCTACATACAGATAGAGAGAGTGATATATCTAACGACTAATAGTGTGTCCCATGGTCCCTGCAGCCTAGTATTTACACCCTTGTGAAGGCTTCTTTTACTTTGTACCACAATCCATAACTGGTAACAAAAGTGATGGTATTGTCACTTCTACGATTTATAAAAGGTTATAAAGGATTGGCATTTATCTTAGCTTCTCTATCTCTCAGTTTCTGGGAAGCAAGCTTCCATGGGGTAAGCAGTCCCCTCCATAGGCCTCTAGCCAAGACCCAACAAGGAACTGAGGTCTGACAACCATGTGAATTGAACCGGAATTGAATTCTCCAGCCCACTCCTATTTGAGCCCTCAGATAACTGTATCTCTGTCCAACAGTGTGACTACAAATTCACAAGAAACTCTGAGCCAGAACCAAAACCCAAATAAGCTGCTTCCAGAGAAGCTGTAAAATAATAAATGTTTGCTTATCATACTGTATGTAGTTTATTTCAATGCCTATCATTTTTATTTCTACAAGTTAGCTTTGGCTCTTTTTAAAATCGGCCTGGTTGTTTTGGATAGTCTCTGGTTCTATGTAAATGCTTTTGTTCTCTGCTTTTGTCTAAATATTTTAAATGTTATTTCATATTATACATTGTAAAGGTACATAAAAATTATTTTCTGCTTAAAAAAAAAAGTAAGACCATTTCTCTTCTTTCCCCTTCTAAGAGTTCTTCCTATGAAAATCTAAAGGGCCAGAGTCCTCACTCTAGCCTTTAAGAGTGTAAGAGTCTCTCAGAGGTCTGGGTTTTATCCTTTTTGGTAGGTAAACATGTAGGAAGATACAGATTCACCTTAGGAGCATAATGTGGGTGTAACTATTTGTTTCTCAGGAAAATAAGCTTTATTATTCTTTTGGATGAGGACAACTAATTAAACAAATGGCTACCCCAATTCCTGAGTGAACTTAAAATAAAAGAATGTGGAAAAAAAAAAAACAACAACCCTCAACCAAAAAGGATCTGGCCATAAACTGTGGTTAAGTTCTCCTATGGCAAAAGGGTTACCATTAATCCAAATAATGAACAATAATCGTGGAGCCAAAAGGGAAATAGGCTACTATTGATCCTAAAGCCTTGTGTTCTATGCTAGCTAAAAACAGCATGGTATAAAAGGATTGTAATTAATTTAGCTGTAATTGTGTGAGATTTTATTCCGATTTGGTAGTTTCCTGTGGACGACATATGTACAACCACTTTATTGTGCTTACTCAATAATGAACGCGTTTTCTTTCCTAATATAGTGATGCAAGGAGATCTCTTTCTCAGTAAAATGCTTACTTCCCCAATGATACCTAATAGTTCCAACACTGTGGTGTAACTTTGCTCTTTGCTGCTTTTCATAATGATCTCATGCTTGCCACTTCTTAGGAGTATGGGAGTCCCGAGGGCCTGGGTTAAAATATTCCTCTGCAGATTTGTTTTCTTCTGCGAGACACCAGAACACACTGCTCATCCGCAACTACTGTATTAATTTGTCAGCTAGAGGTTTCTCAAACCATGCAGGTAGAGTAAAATCAAATCTGCATGAGGGCCAACCTGTGGTTATGAATCCTCAGAGGATACTTTTTCCTCCCATTCAGTACTTAAGGCCAAGTCAGACAAGACTAACCTGGTGCTTCCTTGGGGCGCCTGGGTGGCTTAGTCGGTTGAGCGTCCGGCTTTCGCTAAGGTCATGATCTCGCGGTTCGTGGGTTCGAGCCCCGCGTCGGGCTCTGTGCTGACTGCCAGCTCAGAGCCTGGAGCCTATTTCGGAGTCTGTGTCTCCCTCTCTCTCTGACCCTCCCCTGCTCACGCTGTCTCTCTCTCTCTCTCTCCTAGAAATAAAAAATTAAAAAAAAAATAAAAAAATAAAAAAAAGACTAACCTGGTGCTTCCCTTTTCCAGGAAGCAAATTGTATTTTATCCTTCAGGTGTGTTTCATCATTTTGCAGGGGTCTCAGCCAACCTTACCTCTCCATCTCCCTAGTGTCAAATTTATGAGCTTTACTTTCATTCTGCTGAGCTGCTCCTAAAGCTCTTTTACTTCAGCAAAGGTCTTAAGGCGGTCCTAAAGTGAGCTTAAGCTTATCACACTGCTTTTCTTGTTCCCCACCCCACCCCTGCCTTCAACCAGGAGATTGCCCTTTCTTTCTTGTGACTTCTATATGTTTTGATTGGCAGAAGGGTGGGATTTTATTAGATCTTTTTCATCAGAAGAGACTTTAAAAGTATGGCATCCATTCTATTGTTGGAAGAAAAAAATCTAAGGCATCTATTTTGTAATAGTTATACTCCTTACCAGCCACTATGATCCTACTGGGTAAGACGGAGGTAGATGGGACAGATATAACATATGAATATAAAAGAGAACAACTGTAAAATGTTATTGTTCCCAACTAATTCTCTCAGGTATCCTGAGTGAATTGTACATACTAGGAGTCTCTTCCAAACCTAAATACATAGATATTATATAACACATAATTTATGATATCTGCTTTACTACAGCCAAGTGTTTACTTTGTTGTTCTTTTTCCTCATCTTCCCATTACTTTCAAAAACAAGACTATCTACAATGTCCTTAATTAAAAGTACTAAGAACTTTGTTTTCTAATCTCCCCTTCATGGGAATAAATTTTAAATGACGTCAATCAATTCATTTGGCCAAATGATTTAATGCTACATCTATTTGATCTGCAGTATCAGCACAATATTTGCCATGAGTCAATGCCTCTACGAACAAAGACTACAGAACAACTTCTGATGTCATGAACAAAACAGATTTTGATAGGACTATACTTATTTGAGAACCAGATATTCCTTTGAGGAATATGGGTGACACTATCATTACTTGGCTTCAAATGAACAAGCTAAATTTGCAAGGTGTTGGCTAAGTTTGGTCTTCTAAAAACTTGGTTAGCCATGAGGCGCATGACAGGCTCACCTGGCAGAGCATGTGACCTTTGATCTCGGGGTTGTGTAGAGATTAAAATCTGGGTGTAGAGATTAAAAATAAAATTTTTAAGGAAAAAGAAGACTATTTAAAGTAAGTAATAAGTATTTGGTTAGCCAAGTGACCCTACTTCAGGAATAAACCTAAATGGTCCCTTCAAAAGCCACAAAAGATCTTGAATGTGATTTTTGCCATTTCACAGCACACTTCTGTGGCAGTAGTGTGTGCAATGTGAGAAAGGGGAACTGGAAGTCAGGACACGGAAAACAATAAAAAAAATAATAATAATCCAGTCCTATAGGGAGATGGGTGCTCTGGGGCAGAAACCACAGTACCAGTGGTTTGGAAGGAGTGTGAGGTAATCTAGCATCTATTGCTTACATTGGGAGCAGGAAGAAGATTGCCAGAACGTAAGTGCCACAAGAAAAAGAATCCTCAGTGATTTACGCCGGGTACTTAATGTCTGTTCAATAAACACCTGACTGAATGAATGTGGCAGTACTAGAATATGAGAAAGGAGGAAAAATTCATTCAGAACTCGGGGTCTGAATTAGGGGGCCACGAGAGTCAAGAAGAAACTTTCCAGTGACAAAACTGAGCATGTCAGGAAGGGGAGCTGGTTCGAGAGGTAAAGTATAACTGGAAACTAGGTTATCAAACCTGTATTTCTAATGGGATCTCAACCCCATATCTTACTTGAACGTGACATTCAATCCTAGGTTAAATGAGATGCGAATCCTCTCTAGATTTCCAAGAATTCTCTAACCATGTAAAAATGTGTCCTATTGTTGCCTGCACATAATGTGCAGCACAGTTCCTTGGGCTGTACATAGACGCAAGGGAGAGACGGGTGTCGGCAGAGAGCAAGCAGGCAGGTGAGGGGCCAGGGCTACAATCTAGTTTTTGCCGCAGCTGCTGCACCTGCCCCCATTCCTCAGCCTTGGGGCATCCATCAAGGGGCGTTCTGAAAGGGCTCAAAGTATCAGAATGGAGGCGAAACAAGAACACGTCAAGAGCTCAGGTCCAACTCTTGTATCTCCTGGTTCCAGGCTATCCGTTGTGGGTGCGGCTGGCGCCAGCCGTGGAACCACGACAGTAGCTGGGTAAAGGTCGCCAGCTGAAGACACGGTAGCCAGGAGACCTTTACGTACTACAGAGATGGGGCGTTCCCCTCTGGGCAGGCAAAACGCCCCCCTCTAGGCGCATTACGTCAACGAGCACCGGAGCAGTTACCTTAGCAGGATAACGCCCTCAGTCCACCACGCGACTCCGCTCCACCCTCCCCGGGGGCACACGCATGCACACAAAGGCCGCACAGTGACGTCAGCCCTGTCCGGCACCTCCTCGGTGTCGTACATCCAGTGGCCTGTCGTAACTGCCGGCAAGAGAGGCCGCGAGCAGAAGGGCACTCGCGCGCTGCACCCTACCCTGCTAGCCGGCATACGCGCAGGTCGTTGGCGCAGGCCCCGGAAACTGAAGCCAATGAGATGCGGTGACGTCACTGCGTATCAGGCGGCACAGCCGCACTCGCGCCGCGAGGGGGCGAAACGAGTTCGGTTGCACCAACACCGGTACTTAGGCGCGGACCGGCGTGTCCTTGGACTGAGAGAGCTGGACGTCCGGCTTGGGAGCGGGCACCTTCGCTTCGCGCGCGACCAAAGAGCGGTGAGCGCAAAGCGGGGGGGCCGAAGCGGGCGGGAAGCGCAGCCGTAGGGGCACGCGGTTGTGTTGGCGGGTATGCGGGCTTGCCTGAGGTCAGTGCCCGGGTCCTGCCAGTGGGGCCCACGCGGGGCTAGCAGGCCTGGGAGTGAAGACCCCGGACTTTAACCAGCCAGAACCCCGTGGGCTACGGCGTGAGGTGGGGCGGAGCCCCAATTAATTGGGGGGACGGTCTCGGTCAGGACCCTGAAGAGCCGTAGGCGACTTGGTTGGGGATCTTACTGACCCCAGCTCTTGTAGTCGGGGCTGTAGGGATGTAGAAGCGACCGACAGGAGATGAGGGCGGGAATGGGAGGGTCGGTGCGCAGCGCCTCACGTGCTCCTTTAAGGAGAGGAAAAACTGCTGCTCCTCCAGAAAGGGGTCATTTTCCTTTTTGGTTACCTGTCGCTTCTCCCCTTAACTTGCCTAAGCATCTCGGGAAGGTAGGTTTCATCAGTCTCCTTGAAACCGACCTGATTAGGTGACCTCGTGGTCGCTTCCAGAGATCTCACAGCGAGGGTCCCTGCGAGACCGCTAAGCCCCCTTCTGCCCTCCCACTCACAACAGCAAAGCAGTTTATAGTGATCTGAGCAGGCAGGATCAACCATGATTTCTTTCTTTCTTTCTTTCTTTCTTTCTTTCTTTCTTTCTTTCTTTCTTCCTTTCTTTCTTTCTTTCTTTCTTTCTTTCTTTCTTTCTTAGTATATTTTGATCTCTCTGAGACGTGACTTAGAAATGTGGTATAAATAAATAATTAGGCTTTCTTAAAAGTTGAAATTTCCGTAGTTTGAGTTTAATATAATCATGGTTTTCAATTTAGATTTGTGACTTTTTGTGACCTTGACCTCAACTTTCGAAATGGATTTGAACTAGGTTCCCACTTTGCTTACTTGGGTTTTAATTCTGTCACTTAGACAAGCGTAGATGTGCTTTTAAGGAAGTTCTCCTTCCAACTAGTGTTTTTGGTACTGAAGAGTCTTGCAAGTGTACTAATAAGAAAACAGGATTTATCTGGATGCTTAATATCCTATCATAGATTCGCAGTGGATGAGTAAGTCACTAGAGTGACCACTGATTTCCATGGGACTTTTACTTGAAGGAAATAAGTAATAAATTGAGTCTTTCATTTTTAGATTTAAAAATGGGTGATGTTGAGAAAGGCAAGAAGATTTTTGTTCAGAAGTGTGCCCAGTGCCATACCGTGGAAAAGGGAGGCAAACACAAGACGGGGCCAAATCTCCATGGTTTATTTGGGCGAAAGACGGGTCAAGCCCCTGGATTTTCTTACACGGATGCCAACAAGAACAAAGGTAAGGCGGGGACAGTTGTAAAATGACAGAAGCACAAATTGCATGACTATAACCAATGGTAAAACCCTTATCAGGAGTGTGAAATACTTAACAATACATTCCTCCTTGTTTAGGCATCACCTGGGGAGAGGAGACACTGATGGAGTATTTGGAGAATCCCAAGAAGTACATCCCAGGAACAAAAATGATCTTCGCTGGCATTAAGAAGGCAGGGGAAAGGGCAGACTTGATAGCTTATCTCAAAAAAGCTACTAACGAGTAATAGTTGGCTGTTGCCTTATTTATTACAAAACAAAAATGTCTCACGACTTTTTTATGTGTACCATATTTAAATTGATCTCATACACCAGAATTCAGATCATGAATGGCTGATAGAATATTTTGGACAGTTCTGATTTAAATGAGATTGGCTTGTGGTTAAATGAATATGATTGGCTTTTTGAACTTTGATAGTAATTCTGGTTCAGCAAGTGCTGTCACTGTTTTCCCCTTCAAAAAATATGATTGGAATTGATTAGATGTTAAGCTTTTCAGAGATGGTAAATGCCATGTCTAAACTTATATAGGAGATTGGTTTTATATTTAGATTTATATAACTGGTTATATTAATATATTTAAATACTGAGGAAATCCATTATATCAGAACAGCAAGACATCAGCTGTGTTTCAAGTTGTATTTGTTAGCCTGTTAAAGGCAAGGGCTGAAGATAAGCTGGCAACGTCCACTTTATCTTTTTAGTCTTAACTATGCCAATTTAATTAAAATTCCCTGCATTTAAATGTTGCCTTTTGCTTAATGAAAGGCATTTTAGTGTGGTTTATGTATAAAATTAAATAAAGAATATTAACACTTCTCACATTTTACAGATGATCTGTAAGGTCAGATGCTTTTAAAATTCAGTGTGATAGGTTATAGAAGCAGATTTGGCTTGTGAATTCTTTACGAAGTTATCATTCAAGATTGTCTTCTCAACAGCTATTCACAAATACAACTGTGGATTTACCATATATGTATGATTGGTAATGGTGCTTTTGCCAACTCTTTAGAGGGGTTAAAGTAAAGGAGATATATCATCACAGATTTTTAAATTATGTGATAAGGCTTAAGAAAATTAAAAACAAAATCACAGATCATGATTTTTCTAATGTGCTTGATTTAATGATTGATGCCAAAATTTAAGTACAACAGTCCTAAGTACTGACGGAGCAGTGTTACTAGTCATAGTACTGGATTGTATACTTATCCCTCTAGGACAGCCTAAACTAGAACAACACTTCAGTAATTCATCCTTAGAGTTTCTTTGGCCAGAATGAACCCTGGAGAGTTTATACCAAACGTAGATAAAACAACATGCTTCTGGTCAAAGTTCTGTGGCATATGATTGTATAATTTTTGTGCAAGTTATTTCATACATGGTCCGTGCTATAACATTTAGAGAGGCCCTGGATGATTTTATGGATGGTGAAATTCTCAGTGAAAGAAACTGATAAGCTATCTCTGGGGACAAATAAGGAGAAAGGGAAGAGGCCCTGTCAATGATTTCAGAGATGATGGGGACGATTAGATAGCCTGTTAGGCCTGGCAAAGCTATTTGTAATTTAATCTTTCATCATTGGAGAAATATAAGTAAGCAAAGAAGTTGGGAAACCTGCAGAAACAATTTGGGAATGCAAAAGAAGGCCTGCTGTAATTCAGAGGTAACCACCTTTATAACTTGGTAACTGCAAAAGTTAGTGGTATTCAGAAACAGTGTAGCCATTTAGCTTGTAAGAATTCTAGATCAATGTGGGAAGACATGGAGTCTAGGGAGCTGATTTACTTCTGTGCCTCTGACATCAACTGAACCTGCTGTGTTATAGGCCAGTTATACTCAGTAAGTACCTCTGGTGATTGATACATAACATAAACGATCCTACAACTAACTCAAAAGAAATTCCCACTTAGGAGGTTTATATGCTCTCAGAAATAAATAGGATAAAAACACTTTATTTTGAGAGGGGGAAAGAGAATCCCAAGTAGGCTTTGCCCTGTCAGTGCAGAACCTGACACGAGGCTGCATTCTGCAAAACGTGAGATCATGACCTAAGCCAAATTCCGGTCAGACGCTCAACCAGCTGAGCCACCCAGGCACCCTGAGAGCCAGATGCTTTTTAAGGGGTTTTTCTTCCAAGTTCCATCTAGAAAATCCGCTGTGGATTTTCTAGAACAGCACTGTCCTATAGAATTTTCTGTGATGATGGATTGTACTTGTGCTATCCAACTTGGTAGCCAGTAATCACGTGGCAATTAAGCCCTTGAAATATGGCTAAATTTACAAATAGCCATAAATGGCTACCTTGTAAGAACTTGTTGAACATTGCCATCTGTGAAAGCTCTTGACTGGTGAGCACCAGAGTACTTTTCATTATACGCTCATGTAAAATTCCTTGAAAGTCACAGTGAAAATTAACTTCTTCCAATGTTAACAGTGACCTAATTGTCATGTCTTTCTATTCTCAAATAGCTTTGATGATCAAATAGCTTTGATGATGAAGACTTTTGACAACATTTGACTGCTCTTATTTTAATCTCCCTTGGTTTAGGTTTCACACTCAATGTGGAATAAAACACAGGCATCACAGAATATGCACATGTAGCTGTATCTGTTGGTAACACATACATTCTTTGCATGATATTTTGCCCAAATTCTAGCCCCATAATTCAGATTTCAGTACCTTGTAAGTTATATGGAACAATTATTGTCTCTATTTTGTATCTAAGTAAACAGGCTCAGAGAAGTTGTTGCTGTCAGAAGTCACAGAGTCATTGCCTTGGAGTAGGATCGCATAAACTGACCCTGCCTTTTTATAGTGTCTTCTAAAACTCCATATAAACCAAGTCATCTATTAGCCTCTTTCCAGAACTCACACTTCTTTTCTTACTAAAAACCACATTCTCCGGACCTCTAAACCTCTGCAGCCCACACAGCTGGAGCCTGCTTGTTTTTTCACACTGTCCACAGCAGAGATCACTGGTCTTGTCACCTTCCAGATCATTACACTTAACCCTCACAGACAGAACTACCTGTGTGAGATTGAGGACATCTTTGTGGACTGTTTCCTGTACTCCTGGACCTTCACTACATTTGCTGAGAATTTACGTGCTCCAACCCAACTCTTTTGAAGAAAAAAATTATACTGGTAATGGCTACAGAAAAGTGAATTAATGACCTGTCCTTATTGCCACTATAACCTCAAAACTTTTTACTTGATTTTATTTTATTTTTTTACAAATAGTTTATTGTCAAGTTGGTTTCCATATAACACCCAGTGCTCATCCTCACAAGTGCCCTCCTCCATGGAAAACTTTTTACTTGATTTTAACTTCTCAGTGCTACTTTCTCATAGTTACAACTTATCATTGATTCAGAACTTCTCCACTTCTGAAATTTGAAATCCCATTATACAACCTCATACTACTTAATGTCTCTCTTATCTCTGTTTCCTTGAACTCCTCAAAATCCCACTCCCTGATCATTCCCTTGTGGTTTCCTTCCTTAGCCAGCTTTTCAGTGTATTTTTTAAATGTTTTTATTTCTGAGAGAGGAAGACACAGAATCTGAAACAGTCTCCAGGCTCTGAGCTGGCAGTCAACACAGAGCCTGATGCAGGGCTCAAACCCACGAACCATGAGATCATGACCTGAGCCAAAGTCGGATGCTTAACCGACTGAGTCACCCAGGTGCCCCTCAGTGTATCTTTTCAATCACTGCATTGCTTGCATTCAATACCTTTGTCATCTGTTGCTTTTTGTGGTATTTGTTTTGCACATAACCAGCCTGAAAGCAGCCCAGCTCTCTGCTTTCTCTACTTCCACATCTGATCTGAGCATTATCAAAGAAAATCACACACATCTGCTGATTGGCACCACTGTAAACACATCCCTGATTCAACAGGAGTAGCAAAAACCCTATGCAACTGTTCTTTTATAACTGTTCCTTTGCGGTTAATTTACAAAATCATGCTCCTCAAGCTTATCTCTCCCCTCTCCCCTGTTCGCACAGTGGATGGCCTTCCCTCCCATTTCAGATATCTGTTCTTTATTTCCTGGCTACAAGGGAGGGTTTTGTTGTCCTCCACCCACACCTTTAGCCATGTTCTTATTCAGATGATTCAGAATGTTCACAATCACATCAAGAGAAGCTCCCCATGTTAAACTTACTCCAGCATGGTCCGTGTAACACCCATTCCCAACCTTCTTCTGTCTCCATCTTCCATAGAAATTTGAAGAGCTAAATGCTTGCTTTCATTTCAGAGCAGGAACTTCACATTGGGAGCTACAATCCAACACAACAAGTAACACTGAGTTCTGGAAGGTACAGCTTTTCTTACTCAGTTTAATGAAAATGTAGCTGGGCATGGGCAATACATCTGGACCAAGAAATTTTTTTTTAGAAATCTAAACAATTTAGGAATAAAAAGGGAAATCTACAGGTTTTCTAAGTCACCAGCCCTGAGTTAGGGCATATCATGTTGTCAGATGAAATTTTTTATACTTTTTACTGGTGAGTGTTGGAAGAAGACAGCCCAAGGATCTGAGCCCTCTGTTGACATTGATGGAATCCTGTACAGTAACACTTGTGCCTTAAGTCTGTAAACTGGCATTAATTACATTATCCCTGAGGGTTGTAAGGGTTAAACAAGAAAATGTGCTTGGGATATTGCCTTGCACTCTAAACACTCCAATGTTAGCTAGTTTTGAATTAGGTGGGCAGTATAATTAACAGCTGGACAGATTGCATGGAAGGGGGACCAAGATGAGTCTTCTAACTGAAGTGATCTAATGGAACAGAAGTGCCTAGAGTTAGAGATTTGTATTCATAACTCTGACCCTAATTCTAATAACTCACCAGGTGATGTCTCATTAGTGACCAGGACTTAGAATCCATGAAGTACAATATCCAACTCCATTTACCTTGAGAGCTTTTCCAAGAGGTCTGAGACATGTGGTCAAAAGGTTAAATGGGCACTTAATTTTCATACACTCTTGTGTGTCTAGTTTTTCCAGTAACCTAACAAAGACATAGTTAATACTCTATTTACTGGGATTATGCTGGTTCTGGCCAGCTTCTGACGCATTAAAAGTAATCTCAACAAGATAGGAGACATCAAGATGGGACTATGTGCATTAAAGGCAGTTTAGAGGGTAATGTTGAGTAGGCTGACTCCAGCCCTCCATTGTTGCACCTCCCAGGATTTATCTGGAGGCTTAATCCAGGTCATAGTAGGGTACCACCTGCAAGGCCCACGTCTGAGAAACTAGTGCTTCTGTCCTGTCTTGGTACACTGGTTGCTAACGTGTCTTGAACAATATTCCATAGTTGTACTTTTAAAGAATGTTGATAATGGAAACCAACGCCTTGTATAAATCTTGGATGGGGCATGTGTGATATAAAAACACATCGCTGTTCTAACCAAACAACAAACATTTAGGTGCCCAGGTTAGAGATAGTATGGGAAGAGATCTGTGGGAACAACTTTTAATTTGTGAGTCTCCTGAGTCAGTGTAGGTTAAGATACTTAGTTTCTTGGTATGTACATAATATTAAGGGGAAAGGGATTTTGGAGAACCAACGCTTAGTGGAAAAACCAGAAGGGCCTGCCTATTTGCCCCTTCCCAACGTGGTATCTCTCAAGATAATGTAAGGAAGGAGGGTCTTTTTTTTTTTATTATTATTATTGTAAATCAAGGTCAGGTAAAGACTCCAGTACTCTTTTATAGCATAATAAAACAAAATGTAGCCTCCATATGCCATATTCTTATTGTAGATAACCTGCCTGAAAATTCTGGTAGCTCTCCTCCTATTCTCCGTCCTGAAGTTGATCAGGCAGTTCACAACCAAGGCCTCTATTAGAAGATACAAAAGAATTCAGGCAAGGTGTGAAATTTTCTAATAGACCTAAGCTGGAGAAGTCCCCTTTACCGATGCTGGTTCTCCAGCAGAATATATTTTCAAAGTGGACAGCCAATGCCTATCCCCTTGGCCTTCATACAGGGGCAGTTTCTGAATCCAACAACTTTTTGACAAGGAACTGCCCTTCAGGACACAGCTCCAAATTCCCCACCATTGGTTCCTTTGTTCTTTTATTGATCATTCCTTCTCAGCCTCATTTGTAGAGTTTTTTGGGTATTTGGGGTTTTGTTTTTGTCCATTCTCAAAGAGCCTACTCTATATGTACTTGATACCCATTCTCTCCTGCATTTTTAGGACCAGAACCTTGACTTTTTTTTTTTTAGGATGGTAATATACCTATAAAATTTTATACTCCAACTTCCCTGGGTGCAGTCAGTGGGTCAAGTGGAAGTCATTTGGGTGGGTCTTAACAGGAAACCTTTT